GGAGAGCCATTTTTGTAGATGTGCGGAGAGTGTGTATGGGGGCTAGAGATTCTAGAGCAGGGGTGCCCAACTCGCGTGAGTTATTGGGCTCTGTTTGTGTTTGTAGGCTTGCCTGTCCATATCTCCAGGTTTTTGTTATTAAACAGGGCTCATGTTTCGGGGTTACACTTTCATGAGCTGCTCAGGTGCTGGACATCCTTTCTGCTTTGCATCACCTGGGAAGAGAGGGAGGATGGCAGGAGCCTGTTTAATGAGGCGATGCATGTTGCCCTGGATGGTACAATATAGTAAATGTTTACTTCCCTGTCCAGCACTCTTGGCAACAGAATATTGACAAGTTATTTTGATCACTGCTATGATGATGAAGAATGATTAGTGGGTTTATTTAAATGTGTTTTAATTAAATGCAAGGATGCTGTATTTGCTAGTGGGGTACAGATTACAGTACAGATTCATTGGAATGCTCCCTCTCGCATATGCCATCTTGCTCGTTTTGGAGACGTGCACATATACAGTTGATACCGCTGCTGCAGTTACTTTCGCATTAGCACAATAACTCAGTACTCAATAGATATTTTGTGAGACTTTGCAGACACACTGTATGGGTGAAGATCTTGGGATAAATCACCCCAAAATTGAAGCTGCACTGCATAGTGATAGCCAGGAGAAGGGCAGCCTCAGTCATTTGATCTCATTAGTGTGATAACTCGAAGTATTTGTTGGGTCTTTTTCAAACTTTGCATAGGATTTCACTTTGAAAGCTGAAGCAACATCGCTTAGTGGCAGCAAAGGGAAAGATGACCGCAGAAGACTTTGTGAATGTGATCACTCAAGTACTGGATGGATCTCATTTCCACTTCACAGAAATATTATATTGATGAACATCTCCACCTGATTTCTTTCTGAGACAAATTACACCAGAATTGAAGCAGCAGCACTAGGGCACAACAAAGAATGAAAAGCTGCAAAAGAGACTTGAAATTGTGAACACAGTAACACTAAAAGTATTTCATGGATCTCTGTCAAACTTCCCAGGAACATTGTATAAGTGGTTATCTGGCACCTGTTTTAAGACAAATTGCACCAACATTGAAGCAGTCATGGAGCATGGAATTACGGACTCAGATCTCGTGAACCTGATTACACAGATGAATCACACAAAGTTGGACTTTTAATAAAGATATTTTTGTAGATGTGCGGAGAGTGTGTATGGGGGCTAGAGATTCTAGAGCAGGGGTGCCCAATCTACAATCCACAAAGGGCCAGTGTGTATGCAGGTTTTCGCTGCAACTCCCTAATTAGATTACTAATTAGAGGACTGATTGGCTGAAGAGTCCTCACACCTGGGTTTGAACAGCTGACCTACAGGTTATCCCAAAAACCCACATACACACCGGCCCTTTGCGGATAAGATTGGGCACCCCTGTTCTAAAGGATGGGGCATGTGGGAGGAGTAGGGATTAGATTAGAAAGGGGGGTGACAGGGCTGTTGGGGGGGAATTATCATTGTTCCATAAGTATCTTGCTAAATTAAACACAGCCTAACAGAAATGTTAATCAAATTCAAATTGCAAATTCATTAACAAAAAGACGGGTAGCCGAAATAGAACTGAAGCATTATTGGGCCATTAAACAGGGTATTTTTGCATTAACTTTGTCATAAATATGGTTGTGGATTTGTGTTTTCACGGCTCGGTACTGGTTGGGTTGAGCTACAGTTGTGTTCAAAATAATAGCAGTCCAACATCACTATCCTGATCAATCACTGTTTTTGGTAGAAATTATATTTCTATATGGCAAATAATTTACTAGTAGGTGTAGTAGAGTAATGGAAAACCAACAGTCATGACATGCATGCTGCTGATTCTGTGTAATTGAATCATTCATTGAAAGGGGCGTGTTGAAAATAATAGCAGTGTGAAGTTCAATTAGTGAGGTGATTCGTTCTGTGAAAAACCAGGTGCCAATTATGGACCTTTTTTAAGGAAGGAAGGCAGCAAATGTTGTACATGCTGGTTATAGTGCATTTCTCTCTGAAATTCTGAGTAAAATGGGTCACTCCAGACATTGTTCAGAAGAACAGCGTACCTTGAATAAAAAGTTGATTGGAGAGGGGAAAACATATAAAGAAGTGCAGAAAATGATAGGCTGCTCAGTTAAAATGATTGCAAATGCTTTAAAATGGCAACCAAAACCTGAAAGACGTGGAAGGAAACGGAAAACTGGCATTCGAATGGATCGAAGAATAGCCAAGATGGCAAAGACTCAGCCAATGATCAGCTCCAGGAAGATCAAAGAAGGGTGAAGTAACCTGTGAGTACTGTTACAATTAGAAGACGCCTATGTGAAGCCAAGCTATTGGCAAAAAGCCCCTGCAAAATCCCATTGCTGAAAAAAAGACGTGCTGAAGAGGTTAGAATTTGCCAAAGAACACATTGACTGGCCTAAAGTGAAACGCCGCAACATTTTTTGGACTGATGAAAGCAAGATTGTACTTTTTGGGTCTAGGGGCCCCAGACAGTTTGTCAGATGACCCCCAAACACTGAATTCAAGCCACAGTGCACTGTGAAGACAATGAAGCATGGTGGCGCAAGCATCATGTTATGGGGATGTTTCTCATTCTACGGTGGAGGGCCTATTTATCACATACCAGGGATCATGCATCTGTTTGAATATCTCAAAATACTTGAAGAGGTCATGTTGCCTTATGCCAAAGAGGAAATGCCATTGAAATGGGTGTTTCAACAAGACAACGACCCCAAACACACCAGTAAACAAGCAACATCGTGGTTCCTGACCAACAAGATTGATGTTATGGAGTGGCCAGCCCAATCCCCGGACCTTAATCCAATAGAAAACTTGTGTGGTGACATCAAAAATGCTGTTTCTGAGGCAAAACCAAGAAATGTAGTCCAATCATCCTGGGCTGGAATACCTGTTCACAGGTGTCAGAAGTTGGTTGAGTTCTCAGAAACAGTTACAACTAAATATCAGTTCAATGATTCAAAGGAAAGCAAAATCTTACAGTTCATACAGTGAATCTTTGAGTTTGTAAAGAAGAATGTGGACACTGCTATTTTTTTTTGAACAGCCTAATATTCCCATTCCTTCACTTTTTGTAAAGGAATAACACAAATGTGATGAATTTCTCTTCTTGTTTTGATTTGGAATAGAATTTGTAGTGTTTCCAATGCATTTGCTTGTATGGAAATAAAAACTATTATAAGGAATTTCAGCTTTATTCACTTTTTTAGACACACTACTATTATTCTGAACACAACTGTATGTCTGTGAAGTATTGGCAGCTTGTAGATGGTCTCGAGCAGTCACCTGAATCCCACATCTCCAACAGCCGAGAGCAGCTGGTTGTCCAGTCCAATAAACTGTTTTATTTTGGTTTCTTACTATCCATAATGTAAGGCTTTTCTTTGCTGCGGTTATGGATGGATGCACAAGAGCCAGTTTGCTAGTTGCAGCATTAGCAAGTTTGTAGTGCAGTTCTCAGGTGTTGAATGAGGTTTTTGGTGTTTTTTTGCTGCCAATCCCCCATGACCAATTTTGTTTGAACATGGCAGATTTATCGGAGCATCCGTACTAAAAATACCACTAAAATTTTCCCCCTCTCCAGGGATACAACTGGTGTCATGATAGGAATGTTGTGACCATCTTCAGTGCGCCAAACTACTGCTATCGCTGTGGCAACCAAGCCGCCATCATGGAACTGGATGATACTCTAAAATACTCTTTGTAAGTATTGTTCTGCTCTCATCTGGTGTACCTGTAAGAATCTGAAAAAGAAGGTTGAGTAATGGTAAAGTTGTCCCTTCTGTATGAATTGTTACCCCTCTTATACCTCAACCTTAAAAAAAAAATCCTGGAATCGCCTCTGGGTGCAACTCTTAAACACTTAAATATTGGACTGCTCTCGTCTGGTGTAGCTATCAGAATTTGATAGGATTGAGGTGGTGGTAGGATGTAACCTTTACATGACCCAAATGCATAGATGGGTCTTTACCCACGATCATCTCTGTCCCCACAGCCTGCAGTTTGACCCTGCACCTCGCCGTGGGGAGCCCCACGTCACCCGACGCACCCCAGACTACTTCCTATAAATCCCCTACCGATGACATTTGTATGTGTAAATGTGTGTATATGTATGAGCAGGGTTACAACATGAAAGTACTAACATGGACCAAAATGTGCCATACTAGCGGTAAGCATTTAGTGCACACATACAGTTTGCCCAGTGTCTCAGTACTGCAACAACATGCCGCATTTATCCTTCAGCTCAAGTCTCAAAAGCCTGCTGTATACGATGGTAGTAATGGGTTTCTTTTTTTCCCCTTTTTTTCGGGTGGGTGGGGGGGGGGTGTTCCTTGAACTGTACATTGAAGAGGACTTGCGTGACTTGCTTTGCTTATTTCAAATTTACTGGACAAAATACATTTTTGCGACAATTAGCAATGCCAGGCATGTGAAATATGGTATTTTTAATGTACAAGCTTACCGACCCCCCACACTTTCCTCCAGCGGACACTATCCTGTTATGAATGCATAGTTGAAGGGAGAAACCTCTTCCTCTTCTGGAGTGTATGCTGTCATGTAAAGAGCCCTCCCTCCCTCCCCCTCTCACCCACCCACTGTTAAATCTTACTGTTTACTGTACTTTTTTCTGTATATTTGTCATGAAGTGATTGCATCTTCTTTGGTGTATTTGAACCAATTAAAGTACTTTTGATCATTAACAGTCTGTGGCCAGTGACTTGCTGTAGTTCTCAGTAAATAACTGATGAGGTCATCATTTATTGCAACAGAGTCCTTGGTGGTGCAGAGGTCCCACGATCCACAGATCTGAGACACAGCAGCATTTCTGAGTCTATCCCACCAACTACTGGCTCACTCAGGTAGAAGCTAGCTGTAGGTGTAACATCTTAAACCTTCAGTCACTTAAATGATGAATCTCAGACTGGGGGAGATCCATCTCTTCCACATTGAGGACCGTGTCTGTGTCAATGCCAGCATCTTCCAGGCTCAAGTCCTTTTCCATCCGTAGGGGCCTTCGAGGGTAAGAGGTGCAAATAGCATAGATGTGTGGTGGGAATCCACTCTTAAGCATCCAGTCCAGGAGAACCTGCACAAAATGGTAATCTATGTCAGCTTCTTTTTCCACTGACTTCATCAGTCCACAGTCCTAGTCTTTATCTATAGGAGTGTGTGTCATGAGCTCAGATGTTAGTGCACAAAGCATTTAAACTGACAAATGTACAACATACCCTTGAGCTGTGTGATTTAAAGAACTTGCGCTGAATTGTTCGACCACTAGGACATCTCAGGACCACCCTCACCATCTAAGAAAGGGTTAAGGTTTATTCAACAGAATTTAGTTTAAAAATAAAAAATCAAATGTGCGATTTTCCTTTAATTCCCACCCAAGGCCTGTTTATGAGAAGTTATTCGTTTAACACCAAGAGTAGCTCAGGTCTCATGGTTGCTCTCGTTCCTAAATTTAGTACTTTGCTGACATGACATGCAAGTGATGAAATGACTGAACGCAACAGAAGTTTACACAACTCCCACTGCCCTGGAGCCTAAAATGAATAGGCTAATAAACATTCACACAGCAGTCAATCTATTTTACAGAATCATCTGCAATGTAATGAATTTTTGCAGGAAAACACAACAGATAGCTACAATTTTAACTGCTGTGGATAGGATTAATCAATAAAATTCCCACAGCTCAAGAAATCCTGAAAAATAGAAACAGTATTCAGTAAAAAAACATTTGTTTCAAATGTATTTCTACATCTGTGACAATACGGAAGAGGATTAGGGCCACCATGAAAATATTATTTGAATTCTGACTTTAATGTCAGAATTCTGACTTTTTTCTCAGAATTCTGAGTTTTTTCTCAGAATTCTGGACTTTTTTCTCAGAATTCTGAGTTTAGAAAAAAAAAAGTCAGAATTCTGGGAAAAAAGTCAGAATTCTGAGATTAAAGTCAGAATTCAAAAAATATTTTCATGGTGGCCCTAATCCTCTTCCGTAGTGACAATACATGTAAATACACCCAAATACTGAAGGAGACCGAACCCTGTTAAAAAAAATACAATTAAAATAAAACTTACCCCCTCAGCATTTTCTGGTGGTTCATCTGGTAAAACTACAACCTTTTCAAAACAGGGAAACAATTTGATTATAATCCAGCATCAAGAATAATCACAGTGACAACTCCATTTTCAATTAAGCACTGAGCTTTTAATTGCAATTGTAAGCAATCGATTTACTTCCATTTTGATCTTAAAAATCTTTTAAACGAACAGTGTGATCCCTGATAGGTAATTATACTGCCTCTGCCTCAAATTCTGTATTGATTCAAGTCTGCAGTTGCAAAATGAGGCAGCTGGTAAATATTGATATTTATAATACTGATACTGATATTTATAATGTTCAGGAACTGGAAACTTTGGGGGGGGGGCGGGGGAAACTCAGAAATAGGGATGAATACATTCTTCATTGGGAATAAATGGCACTGCTGTATCTGACTATGTATTATAAGGGGAGGCAAAACCGCATGGCAATGCTCATGCCGCTACACAGCCAGCCTGTAACTGATAGATTAGCTAGCTAGCTAGCTAATATGCTAAAAATGTCTGGCTTCGCATTCGATAACTTGCTACATTTCCATTTCTTCAAGAAACGGTAGCATTGAACTACCTAATGTTCAATAATTAGCCCAATAACCACCACCTCATTTTAATACAGAGTTTATAGGCAACACAGAGCATTAACACTTTTCATTCAGTAATTAAATGTCATTTTACTGATTAATAAAAATAAATAACTATGCCTCCTGAGGATAAGTTGGCCCGTCTTATTGAATGCTTTTATTTACTCCACTAATCTGAAAATGTAGGTGTTCACTGGCCGCAAGTTTTTCTCCTCGCAGCAGAAAAAAAGGACTTCAGTCCTGTCTGTGTAGACTCCTACACAGTCGATCAAAGTCGCACTGGAATGTACCAAATCCTGCATGGGGAGCAAATAGTCGCTTCAGATAGCACGCCACCTGCGTCTGGATGAGGGAAATGTTTTGGGAGGTGACCAAATTTGTAAAAAAAAAAAAAAAAAAATTAAATAAGTGCCCCACAATCTGGCCCCAGATAAGTGGTAGAGAATGAATGAATGAATGAATGAATGAATGAATCCAAAGAACCTATTGGTGGTACATTCCGGGGCCTGTATCACAAATTCGGATTTCTTGCTTAGCCAGATAATTTGTCAGATTTAAGGTATCCCATTTTAAATGGACTCTCTTCATTCACTTAGCCCAAACTACTTTAATCCTGAAAAAGACTAACAATGGATACCACCTTGCTGCCCCTGTACATGAAGGATAAAAGAGATAAAAACCTAAAACACTTATAATTTAAAATGATTTCTTTAAATAAACCTGCTCAGTAGAAAAAAAACAACCCAACAATATCCTTATAGAAAATTGTTTAGTACAGCACTCAATTTTCTTCACATAACAATGACATATTCCACTATTTGCTCTTAAAAAAAACATTCCAGAAATTTACTTGGAACCCTGAGCAAGTCACAACAGACATGCAAATTAATGTGCAGTTTGTTTCTGTGCACACTTAGCATTCATCATGAGTCAACAAAGAGGTGCTGTTCACATTCCTAGGTAGGTGCTTGCTTTGCCCTTAAAAACAAAAAATCCATCTCTAACCTTAAAAAAAATCAAGAATGACTGTCAGTTGTGGGCTTAGGAGGGTTAGTAAAGTTTTAAAGAGATTAAAAGCAAACTGTAACTTGGCTGCCCTGCCCTGCTTAGCCCCACCATGTAACACTGTTGGTAACATCTACTGTCTGGGTTGGAGTTGAAGCACCACTTGTCTTCGCATTTTATTTTGAGGGCAGCGGCTGCTATGTGTGGCATCTGTGTTTGTCCGACTCAAATATCCACTAGGACTAGCTGCGCCCTTTGGGGGGGGTGGGGGGGCGGAATTCAGATATTGGATAGCTCACCCTCTTTTCTTTTGGAACGTCAGCTTTGGCAGGAATGTGGCTGACAGTTTCTGGCAACTTCCTCCTCCGAATGGCCTTCACATTTGGAGACTCATCAATGTCCTCATCCTTTAGGTGTTCTGTGGAAGGATCTCCCTCCTGCAGTGGCAACAATGGAGATGAACACTGTCAAGGACGGCCACAAGCTACCAAGAACGACCGACAGGAGCGGACCTGGTAGTCTATAGCATTTAGCTGAACCTGTAATGCTCAGCACATTGGTCGACACTTCTGGGCCCAGTGGAATGCTCCAATAGAAAAATCCAGCTGTATGAATAGGTAGATTTGATACTTAGGGAGGTGTTAACAGTGTTTAATCAATACTGCAAAACATAGTTTGCCTACCACAGTGTTTCCCAATCTGGTCCCTGGGGACCCACAGACTGTCCACGTTCCCCGTAGAGCAAAAATGTGGGCTGTCTGTAGGACCCTGTGGACTGGATTGGGATACACTGGCATACAATACAAATTAACATAGGCCAAACAACACAGGGCACAGAGGAGGGGGACATCCTGGATGGCATGCTGGACCCTCACAGGGCACAAACACATCCTCACAAACAGTACAGCCAATTAACCCAAAGGCACATCTTTGGACTGTGGGACACGTACAAGATGAAAACTCGTGTGACCTGGAGAGAACATGCAAACTCCACACACAGAGCAGAGGCTGGCTTCAAACCCCTAACCCTGGAGGTGTGAGGTGACAGTGCTGCCCACTAAGCCACCAAACAGGAATTCAGCACCTACCCCTAATAGCTGCCCCCGTGTCAGCTTCCAGGCCTCTCCCGTCATGCGGTAGAAGCGCTGCTCCTTATTCTGGAGCCGGGCTTCCTGGCGTGGCTTCAGCACAGACTCCTGATAGGTTGAAGCCTGACGGGTTAAAAAAAAAAAAAAAAAAGTCATCAAAATAAAAACAAAATGCTTCATCTCTTTTTCATCTAACTAACAGGGAAACAAATGTTTTTTTTCCCCAAAATGTATGTTTCCCTACAACAGACATCTGCAGTAGGCGATCTGAGAGAGGATGCCATCCTAATGTTAGCAAAATTTCAAAAGTGCATCCCCTAGTTAACCTGGCTCCCCCTCCACCCCCCAGCGGAGAGAGTGCTGCGGGTGTTGTGAGCATCCGTTTGGTTAGCGTGTGTGTATGTGTGTGTGTGTGTGTGTGTGTGTGTGTGTGTGGGGTGTTGATTGGCTGTGAGCAGTCAGGGGCGTCCCGCCATTGGGCCATCTCCCTGTTAAAAATTAAACAAATCGCCAACTGGATGTCTGTATTGCAAAGTCCACATAAACATGCAAAGCCTTCTGGAAGTGTGAAAGCTTATACTTATAGTTTGTGAGCTACTCCCATTATGTTGCATACAACATGTTGCATGTTTTAATGGAAAAAATATTGCCATTAGCGGCGCATTCAGGTGCAGCAGGACGACTGCACATCTGTACCTTCTCACTGTGTCTCTCCTGCTGGTCTTTCCTGGCCAACTCTCGTTTCTGACTCACATCTTCATCTGAATTTAAACACAATATCTGCATACATTTCATTTACAGGAAAATGACTGATAAATTTCAGTACCACCTTTTTATGAAATGTACAGTACTGTGCAAAAGCCTTAGGCAGCCAAAGGAAATGTGCAAAGCTATTTATCTGGGTAGTAAGTGCACATTTGCTCAGAACAAAAACATTACTTAACAGAGTATATGCAAAGTAAGAGTAACACTAAAACAGGGGTCTCCAACTCCGGTCCTGGAGAGCTACTGTCCAGTAGGTTTTCTGTCCCACTTGGCTTCTGATGGGCCACACCTGTTCCTGGTATTTACCTGAGAACAGGTGTGGCTCATCAGAAGCTGGGTATGATAGAAAACCTACTGGACGGTAGCTCTCCAGGACCGGAGTTGGAGACCCCTGCACTAAAAACTAACAGGAATATCTTCTGTTCTCCCAAAATTCACTCATGTCTTGCTGCATGGCAAGAAGTTCCAAACTTCTCCTCAGGGGACCACAGTTATTCCATGCATTTGTTGAATTTCACCATCAGCTTGCTTAATTAATTAGCTTAATTAGTTAGAAAAGAAAAAAGTTGGTGATGTGCTGATTAGCTGAACATGGAGTGCTAGTGGTCCAGTAAAAAAATACATTGATGTATTGCATGGTTGCTGCAAATACCGGGGCAATTTTAGGAGAGGTTTTAGAATGGTTAAGCTGACACACTTTAAAAGAGATAAAATCACAGTTTTGCACCAACATGAATAAAAAAATTATTTTCCTTGACTGCCTAAGACTTTTGCACAGTACTGTACGTATTACAACTTTATATGACTAGCTGGGTGAAAATTTCCAATACGTTTGTTACGCCTGTTCATCCTAAACTACTAGGCCCTTCTGGTTTTAATTTACTATGGGGATTATTCATATGAGGGCAAGAGGTTAACTGAAGCTGAATCTTGCACAGAACACTGGTTGTCATTATTTCGGAAATGCCCCGAGAAACTGAAACGCACTTACATTCAGAGCGAGCCTGAGGCGTGGGAGATGAAGGGGAGGAGGACCTCAGCCGGGTATACAGCAGGGACAAGAGCCAGCTGGACAGGACGAGCAGGAACAGACCCCGTCCCATCAACAGCAAAGCAGCTTTAAAATCTGCGACAAAACATGCAAATGCTGGCCCACAATATGCACCTGATTTACGTGGAGCAACAACAAACAACGCCGGGCTGTACGCAGCAATGTCTGCGAACGCCATTATCTGCACGGTGGTCGCATTTCATAGACCGTTAAATTCGTGTTATTATCGTCTAAAGATATTGCTGTTCCGCCTTAGAATAAATAAGTACATGTTGCAAATTATGCAGACAACTCACCCTTCTTGTAATTCCTCATGTATACACAACACAGAAAACTGAGGGATATGATCCCGAAGAGGACTATGGCCTTGGGAGCACCCATTGCTTCGTTTATTAAAATATTTACCGATATCTGACTATTTCATTTGCACCGATGCATATGCATCCTGCGCAGACAGCTAAAATATTATAGTCATACGGGTTTAAACAACAAAATTTATCAACAAGGTCCTATTTAGAGAAAGTCCGACTGTGTCATCCGGAAGACATGAAAATCAGTCTCACTGCGCATGCGCCATTGAAAGGCTGACGAATCTTGGCACCTTTAGAAACCTTTTATAAAGAATTCCTTTTTCTTTATAAAAGGTTCGTTTGTAGTAATTTTGGGAAGCCTCTCGGTACGACCCGTGGGAAGGCGGAGTCGGACATCCAACCTGGCCCTCTTATGTCGCCAAGCAAAAAATCTTCCGGCTTCCTGTCAGCGTAGATATACTAGTGCCCCTCAATAAATACACAAAGATTCTACTGTGAGACACGTGTGGTTGTATGTGGATGTTTTGCTGCTAGTCATGCGTTTCCATCAGTTACCTGTCTAGCCGTTTAACTATCTGCCAAACTCTGTAAAGATAAAGAACTTCTTGTTGATAACATGCACTCAATGTTGCTTAACAATGTAAAACAAATGTGGAAAATCTTTAAACCTTGTCATGCTACACGAACTAGGCATAAATCAACGGCAAAGTGCTTCTTCAATGAACGGCGTGACTGACAGGTTCGTGAGGTGACGTGGATCCGCGCGCCTTCCCGCAGGTCGCCGCGAGACGTACTCGGTTATTTAAATAAACAGCATAGTCACACAGTACAGTGGGTACGGAAAGTATTCAGACCCCCTTCAATTTTTCACTCTTTGTTATATTGCAGCCATTTACTAAAATCATTTAAAATATTTTTTTTCCTCATTAATGTACACACAGCACCCCATATTGACAGACAAAAAAAAGAATTTTTGAAATTGTTGCAGATTTATTAAAAAAGAAAAACTGAAATATCACATGGTCCTAAGTATTCAGACCCTTTGCTGTGACACATATATTTAAGGTGCTTTTCATTTCTTCTGATCATCCTTCATTCATTCATTTGAGTCCAGCTGTGTTTGATTATACTGATTGGACTTGATTAGGAAAGCCACACACCCGTCTATATAAGACCTTACAGCTCACAATACATGTCAGAGCAAATGAGACTCATGAGGTCAGAGGAACTGCCTGAAGAGCTCAGAGACAGAATTGTGGCAAGGCACAGATCTGGCCAAGGTTACAAAAAAATTTCTGCTGTACTTAAGGTTCCCAAGAGCAGTGGCCTCCATAATCCTTAAATGGAAGACGTTTGGGATGACCAGAACCCTTCCTAGGGCTGGCCGTCTGGCCAAGCTGAGCTACCGGGGGAGAAGAGCCTTGGTGAGAAAGGTAAAGAAGAACCCAAAGATCATTTTGGCTGAGCTCCAGCGACGCAGTCAGGAGATGGGAGAAAGTTGCAGAAAGTCAACCATCACTGCAGCCCTCCACCAGTCAGGGCTTTATGGCAGAGTGGCCTGTTGGAAGCCTCTCCTCAGTGCAAGACACATGACAGCCCGCATGGAGTTTGCTAAAAGACACCTGAAGGACTCTGAGATGGTGAGAAATAAGATTCACTGGTCTGATGAGACCAAGATAGAACTTTTTGGCCTTAATTCTAAGTGTCAATGAACACGTTCATTAATAAACATTTTATCAAAATAGTTACTTGCTCTTTGATTCGAACAAATACAAGCTCAATTAAGAGGTTGCCTGGTACAGAAATTAAGGTCTGTGTGGTTGCACTCAGCCATTGTCCCTGGGTCATGCTGTATTATTTCTCTTCCAGCTAATGTCCTGTACAATTAAATTTGACGGCCATTGACTGAATTCTGACTCTCCTTTGATCGACATTTGATTTATTTAAATTGTCCTGAAGATCCAGAGAACTGATCCATAGAAAAGGACAAATCATGGTTCTTAAAATGTAAAGTTGTTTTTGTGTCATTGATGGGCAGAGCCAAATTGGGGAGGGCAGTGACTCCTGGGCTCAAGATGTTTTTAGGGCCTTACCTACCCAAAATATTTTGAAATATCCAAAATATTTACATAAGTATCAAACATATCAACATCAAGGTTTCAGTGTCAACCAGAGTAAAGTAAATGACTGCTACAGAGCACTAGCTTTAAAATGAATAGCTAAAATCTGAAGTGCAAAAAGAGTTCTGAACCTGAAATGAGAAAGAAAATATGCTGTATTGAAGCTTATATATTCAATTTGCCATTGAGATCAAACTTTTCTAGAAGTACATACTTCCAAAGACTTCATCTTCGCCATGCTGGATAAGATTTAATTCCCTGATTTTCCAGAAAAATCATCGCTTATCTCAGGATGGGGTGCCAAACCACCATAGGGTGCACTCACACCTTTCACAGCTGCTAGTATTTTATTAACTCCAATTAACCAACATGCAAGCTCCACACATGGAAAAAGTGTGTGTATGCAAAGTGGAGGCTTGAACCCTGATCCCAGAGGTGTGAGCCAACAGTGCTAATCACTGCACCATCCTGCCCTACGTTATATCCATTTTGAATTATTTTAATAATGAATTACAAATCATTTTATTGTTTAATGTTTCATAATGGCTGCCAGATGAAATATGTATTTTACATGTATAGCAAAGCACCACCTCTTAAAATATGCCGACATTTGCATTTGTACGTCTTTAACAGTCCAGTGATCAAAATCCATTCTCGTTCTTTATCCACAAAACAAGCTAAAACTGGGACACGTTACAAACGTTAGATAATGCCCCATTCACACCTTGTAGTTTAGGGACAAAGTGTGAATGGGGGTAATAAGGGTAAAAAGAGGACATTATCAGCAAAATTCTAATGTTTGAATTTATTTCAGTGATTTTCTGCATCATTTTGACTGAGGGAGATGAAACAAAGGGGGGAAAGCATGTTATTGTTCAAGAGCTGTTTGCAAATGCAGTCCTTAAAAAGCAAAAGTAAAATACAGACAATTCATCGCTTTTGGGTCGCTTCACTTGCACTCTGGAAGTTTAATCAACTAAGGCAACAAAGAATTAAATTTTTTTACATACAAAAATATTATTTTGGGGCCCCCTCCAGCTTGGGGCCAAGGCTCCTGCACCAATAAGTCTTTGCTAAAGCCTGGGCATGCTGATTGGTTTAATATGACTGGTTTATGCTGATTGGTTTATGCTGATTGTCTTATGCTGATTGGTTTATGCTGATTGGCTTAACAGCCAGTGCTGGTGGGAACCCACATAGCAACCTATAGGCCAGCTTCATCGTGATTGGTGTGTGAATGGTGTGCGTGCACTCCCCACCCTGGGATATTCCCTGCCTTGCACTTATTGTACCCAAATTAGGCTCTGGACCCCATGTGACCCAGTATGGAACAAGTATTGTAGATTTATGAATTAATGAATGTATGGGTGGTAAGCTGGGTGGGCAGCAATTTGAGTATTTCTAAATTGCCGTCTGTGTATGATTCTGTGCATGTCTTGCAGTGGACTGACATCACATCAAGTGTGTTCTTACATGGGCTAGACTCCAGGCTAGCCCCCCCCCCATAATGGTTATGCTGCTGAAAGATGGATGGAAAGTAATCCGCACATAATAAAATAAAGAAGTCTGCTAAAATTAAATAAGTACTCGACACTGAAACAGTAGTACTTGTAGTTTTATAGAGCACAGTTAATCAAAATAAATGATTAGATGATAGAACTGGAGCAAAGTGTAATCAAGTGCTTTTGTTCACAGTAAACAGATGTTAAAAACAGAAGCGATAAAATGGCAAAAATAAGAATTACAAGAGATGATTATGCGTTATTTCCGTCAAAGAGCTCTCCAGATATTGTTCATCATGGATGTGTTGTCACTGGATCACTAATCAACAATTGATGTGAAGTGTCTTTGGTTATTTCGCACTAATCACAAAATGGCATTCTCGAATCAAATCCCATTAACATTCTCGAATCTATCAGAACACCAAAGGTTTTGGCTTCTCCCACGGAAACTCCTCTCTGCCAAAGTGGCCATAACACGCGGTTTTCTGGTAGATTGGCCTTTTCAGATTCAGCTCCCTGTGAAAAATGTAGAGCAGAGAGGTATGAGGACAGCAAGGTCTGAACACTCTGTGTGGGTAGAGCCAGATGCCTTACTGGTAAAACTATTAATAGACAATGAAGCTATCCGCAAGGCAGCAAACACGCAGCACTGTATGGTGGGCGAAACTACCTCATAGGTACGGATATGTGAGACTCTTTCTATCCTTGTCATAACTAAGGGTGGAATCGTGTCATTTATTTACTTAAGGTATCAGTTGGAGCTGGTGATCAGTTGATTGACAATCTTCGTGGTGATGGAGAAAGGTTTTAGCTTATGTTTAGTTTTCAGTCAATAATCATAAACTAGCTTGTAGTTAATTGATTTATCTATGTAAGAATCATAATTTCATATGAAACTGCTGGTTGGTACATCGTAATAGATGTACTCTGTGTATTTTAATCCCTCTGTGTTGAGGATTCTCATCACTTCTGGGGGTCTATTTACACGAAGTTAAGAGAACAACTATTCCCTTATTAATGTCACTGTGGTGATTATTTTTGGATGCTGAAGCAGTGACTCACTTTATTATGGCCCCTGGGCGTAAGTCGAAATTGTTCTGCACAATTTTCAGCAGCTCATCTTCATCCTTGGTAGATGTACCGTAGTGGAACACAGAGACAGACAGTGGGTGGCTCACACCGATGGCGTATGATATCTGCAATGCAACACAGGAAGGGGACTCAGGATCCATGATGGCTGCAAAATACAGATCTTCCTCAGCTTATGATGGGGCCACATTCCAATAAACCCATAGTAAACTGAAAATATCGTAAGTCGAATATGAATATGATATGATAAATCACACAGACAAAGGAAACACTGTATGTCACATTGTTAAACACTGTATGAGATTAATTTCTTATTTACTTAGCTAAAAACAAAGATAATCTCACTTGGACCAGAACTCTTTTGCAGAGTTTCGCCTTCACCAGAGATTTGGCAACCCATCGTGCAGCATAAGCTCCAGAGCGGTCTACTTTGGAGTAGTCTTTTCCAGAGAAGGCCCCACCTCCGTGGCCTCCCCACCCACCGTAAGTATCCACTATAATTTTGCGGCCTGTGAGTCCTGCGTCTCCCTGTTGCAAAATTAGAATCAGCCTCAGTGTTTTGGATGCAAGATCACTCCTGTAACCAAAAGACCTCAGAGTGCACATACACACAGAGTTTTATTTTTTATTTGAATTATATTTGCATTCATAATATTCATCCATTGATCTTCTATATCCACTTAAGCGCTACAGGATTGAGGTTCATTCAGCATATTAATTGAATCTAACTGTAAAAATGTCTAACTGTAAAAATGGGAAATGAACAAAACCATAAAGTGGGATCAGCACAAATAGAAAAGCTCTCCACCTGAGGGCCACCTGTGCTGAACTTGCCGCTGGGCAGTAAGTGATAGATCGTCCTCTCATCAAGGTATTTGGCAGGGATGACTTCCTTGACTACTTTCTCCATTAAGTCTTTGCGAATCTTCTCCAGAGTGACCTCGGGACTGTGCTGCACAGAGATCACCACCGTGTGCACTCGCACCGGCTCCGTTGCACCGTTATTGTCCCGGTATTCCACAGTGACCTAAAAACAGGAATGTGGGACACATTCCATTAACATCTATGGTGTGTGGCTCCTCAGGTTAGGACCCATGATCAGAAGGTCACCAGGTCAAATCTTTCGATGCCCTTTTGGGCCCTTGAGCAAGGCCCTTAACCCCAATGGCTCCAAGGACACTTCTGACCCCAAAATTTGTTTTCAGATGTATGTGTGTTTCATGGACAGCAAGACCGGATAGGCAAAAACCTGGTCTAGCTGCACCTATATCGACAATGGTATGTTTGTAATGTGCTATTTGCCTCACTTGCACATCACTTTGGATAAAATATCAGATAATCCATGTCAGGGAGAACACTATGAGTTACTGCAGGATTTACTAAGTACTTTAAAACTGAAAGGCCCCTGTGCTTGGCTAAAGAGTTCAGATCTTCTTGTGCTTTGACTGATTTGTTTCCTTGATTGAAAGACTCAACCAGCTGTTTCATATGAATATTAGTGACACATGTACGATTACAGGAAACTGACTAATCAGCACAAATCAACAACTCAGGGCTTAGGTGAAATCCAGGTCCTTTAAATTGAAATGGTAGTTTACAAATCCTTCCTAGCTCATAGTGTCCCCCCTGACTTGGATCACCCTATTTGTTAGGTATCACTGCTTTCTCACGCAAACAACCATGTCCTGCAAATAGTGAATAATGTGGCTGAAAATGAATACATACAGCACATAGCCAGGGCTGGTGGTTCAGATACTGTGTGTACATTATATGCTACATCCTACCCTTGATTTATACCACGCCCCATAATTAGCCATGAATATTCAAAATATCTCTCAGTGTATGAATGACTATTCTAAGTGCCGGTGAAAGCTCAGGAATGCTGGTCTTTAAATAAAAACCTAGGCATGTGATCCACCTGAGTTTTGGAGTCTGGTCTTATCCAGGGGCACACTCCATTGCAAGAGAGCTTCTTCATCATTGCATTGAGTTTGTGGGCCAGGAGGATGGTCAACGGCATGCATTCCTCCGTTTCATCAGTGGCGTAGCCAAACATCAGACCCTGGAAAGACAGTCAGGTCACGTTTAGCTTGGGAATTTATCAAACAGGTCATTTGGAACCTGACGGGCTGATGATTGCTTTATAAAGGCAGATCCTTTTCTGTGAGGTTTGAAGTGCATCATGGGTGTGATTATCAGGTCTGGTTTAAACCAAAGGGACCCAATAAAATAACCCTTTTTAATGGTGTGATGGTCATTACCATGGCCTTGTAATACTTTGCATTAACAATTATGACTCAAAAGCTAATAATTGATTGAATGGCCATTGTGGGTACTGTAAACGTTTAACCTGAACAACATCATTTTGAGTCGTACCAGCCAAAAACTTAATCTCATGTAATTAAGCTCAATGGACATACTGTACTCGGTGGCACGAAGCTGCCAACCCCTGGTCCAAATTACCTATTCATCCACTGATATTTGGCTATCTAACTGACTTTGCACGGCCAGTCGGGGTAGGCATCCAGCTAACCTTTGAACCCCAGACTCTATTAAAGGGTTTTTGTTCTTCTCCTTCAAATACTTCTTCTGCTTTCTGGTTGCACAGTGTGCTGTGTGCATATGTATAGGTAAAGCACACTAGGGCAAATATGCTTGGAGGGTCAGCTTACGAGAAAAGAATTAAATTAAGGGTGTGAATCTTGCCCCCACTCAGCGAGTGTGCGATATGAATGTCCCACCTCCCCCCGGGCCCTGTGCTGGGTTAGTGGTCAGAAGGATGGATGAAATGAATTATCAATGGCCTCATATATCATTTTCACAGTATTTACAAGAGTAAAAGATCCCAAACCTGGTCTCCAGCACCAATGTCCTCGTCTTTCTTTCCCTCGAACACACAGTCACTGATTTCTACACACTGAGGTTCCAAGGCCACGAGGAGGTTGCAGGTCTTATAATCGAAACCTGAGGAAATGTGAGAAATCAATATGACACCTTCCGTAGCTTTTTATACCAAACATTGTCCCAGAATAGCCTGCAATCGGAGATGAAAATGTCCTACTGTCTGAGCGCACATTACCTTTGGAGGAGTCGTCATAGCCGATGCTCTTAATAGTGTTCCTCACCACGAACTGAAGGTCAATCACGGCCTTCGATGTGACCTCACCACACAGCAGGATCATTCCTGTCTTCGCCACGCACTCTAGAAACACAGAGATGCCGCAACATTAAACACTGTTCTTGCTGGACACAGAGAGACAACAGCTAGCTGTTTAAGTGAATGGATCTGTAAGTACATTTGCAGCCACGGATGAGATAACAGCATCAGATGCTGATCTTTGGAATTCCAAAGAGGCTGAATAGTAACTAGCCATTTTTATACCATGTTCTCATACAATTGTGAACTGATATTACAAAAAAAAATAATGTCCAACAAACATACCGCAGGCCACCTTGGAATCTGGGTCTTCTGCCAGATAGGCATCAAGCACAGCATCACTGATCTGGTCACACATTTTGTCTGATGGCCAAGAAATAGAGACAATCAAGAGAATAATAAACATGAGCCCTTATTTAAACAGGTATGATATGGGGGTCAATTATTAGCTGAGCTTTGTACCCACAGATAAAAGTTTGGAGATATAAATTGTGCTTATGCAATACGCAGTAAATGTTGTATAAACATGTTCTAATTGCATAGCTATTTGGGGGTTATTTCCCAGGGGGAAAAAAAACTGTGACACTGCTCATCAGAAACACTTTACCTTTTCATCTAATAAGCAATAAACATGAGCAGGCTAATATTTGTTTTGTTTTTTTTTGCTGGGATGTGGGTAATCATTCCATATACAGAATTGCAATGTTTCATATATTTAATGTGTAAATATTGAACATTGAATGCATATATTGTTTGTATATTTAAATAAGTTAATCTATTCTGCTTAAGAAAAAGAACATTTACTACATAATACCAAACATATTTACTCTCAAAAATAATTATTTCTCAAAAGTCAGTATGAAACATTCAAAATCAGACACATCTACATCTGTATCACCCAATGCGCTTTATGCTTTGCCAGTGAGTCAGTGTGTGTGTGTGTGTGTGTGTGTGTGTGTGTGTGTGTGTGTGGTAATGTATAAAGTGTGGGGACCAATGTGATAAAAAACCTGTTATTTTGATCTTGTGGGAAACATTTTTAGGTTCCCGAAGGGGAAACTCAATTTTATAAAAAATTTGTGAATGCTACCAAAAAAACTAAAAATGCCAAAAATCTTTTTGTTTGGCTAGAGTTAGTGTTGTCATAGTTGGGATTATTAGGATTATGCCCATAGAAATTAATGGAGAGTCCCCACAAAGATATGAGTACAGGTCTGTGTGTGTGTGTGTGTGTGTGTGTATGTATGTGGGCGCACATGTGAGAATATGCCCACCAATGTTGTAGCATTCCCCAAATTTTGAGGGCTTGACTCACAGAGATCCTGCCCAGGATTACAGTTTGGAATGTGAAGACATTTCAATGCATATAATTTCACTAAAACTGTTATTACGATCTCATGTCTGTGAGATTATTTCTATCTTTAGGCTCTCTAAGCCTGACCCAAACTGCTTTAATTTAACTGAGAAAATACAAAGATATCCCTCTTACCAGAATGCCCTTCTCCCACTGATTCGGATGTGAAAAGGAAAGTTTTCCCAGTTGATTTGTTTTTCCCAGAGAAGTTCATTTTTGGGTGATCTTTGAAATACTACAACCTATTCGCACACCGTTAGACACACCTTCACTAGATGTCAAACTCAGACTGAATCAAAGGCTGCGTTTGATGTTTTAAAGAGCAGATCTTGGTTGTGAGTTAATCATTAGGCAAATGATGCAAAAGATCGTAGACCTATGGCCATATACTCACGTAAATTAGATATCTATCTGTCTGTTTGTCTGTCTGTCTATCTGTCTGTCTATCCATCCATCCATCCATGCATTTTAGAACTGCATATTCTGGGCATATCTCAGGCAGCATTGGGCATATGTAAGGAAGGGGTACATAATGATGTTTTCTTAACAGGGTTCCTGATGCATTTGTAAGGCGACACTTTAGTAATCAAAGCTAATACTGAGACCAATGATGGACCTGAGTCAGCATATTACTTACAAGGTCTAAGGGAAGGCAACATATAATTTAAAGATGTTTGCAATGTCTCTTATTACGTCTTCATTATTCTGTTGCACCAAAGCAATATTTTAAAATTAGTGATTTTACTGCTGGGAAAAAATAATAAATTTAGCATCAGCACACATCGTAGCGGTTTTCCTCGATTGCAACAGCACATTTCATGAAACAAACTTATTATTAAGACTATAAGAGCATTTCTCAAAACAGTTCATGCATATAGCACAACACCATGGTTTAGCTGCAAAAGCTGGTAACTTACCAAAATCAATTAACTCAAGTCTCAAAAGCAAATAATTCCACCAATGAATTAGTCAGTGCCACCAAAATGAAAAATACAATTACAATTGTTTTAACCAAGAAAGTCAAAATGTCAGTGTAAGCGTTCATTCTGAATGATAGTCGGGTTCTCATTGTCACTGACTGATAATTTTTTTTAGCAAACTGCATGCATGGGTATAAAATTATTACATTGGGAAACTACATAATCTATTTTGACCAACAAGATTAAAGCAACTGAATATTGTGCCAAATGATGACAATTGTACAAAACCATTAGCATATATGAACTAAAACATTGGGAAATTTGTGTGAAACAATGGGAAATGATGTTGTGCTGTGCAGAAGTGACATTATGGTGTGGGGATTACACTTGCTGCTTGGCAAATATTAAATTTGCTTAATGTTAAATGTAGAAATGTGCCAAAGCAATCGAGAAAAACTAATACATCACCTCAACATTTGGTTACCTTTGTAATTTGTGTGATTTACAAAGATGAATCAGACTGCAGAGGCTTCACACTAAAATGGCCAATATTTTAAAGTTTTAAAAGAAAGGACTTACAAGAAGCAAGGTAAAAGAGCAGCTTGACAATAATTAATGCTGAGCTCAAAGTCCCCTCACTTGACAACTGCTCAGTTCAGATTTTTATAACTCAGCAGCTCTGTGAGTGTGCAGGCTTATCACCACGGCTTCGGGGCCGTTTGATCCCTGTACCAATTCTTTGTGCAGATTTCGCTTGTTCTCCTCATGCTACCTGGGCTCCTTCCCCCAGTGATCCGCACTTTAGGTCAGGTGGCGTCTCTAAACATCCTTTGGTGTGCTTGCTGGAGCATACACCTTCCAATCTCATGGACCGATATCCAGTCCAGGCTGTAGCCTGCCCTGCTCTGCTCTCCCTGGGTCAGATGACTGGGATATGGATGACTTTATACATTGCAGACAAAGCTTTGCATTTTATGACGAAAAATCCCACAAATCTAGCAAAATAGCCGTTTTTTAATATATGGAATAAAAATGTAAGTGTGATAATATATAAGTGTGGTATATTTTTTAAATACCACTTAACCATACAAAGGAGCGCATCTTAATGTACATGTGCTTCATGTTTAGTGCAGATTGGATCTGTTATAAACTACGCAGTTTATGGTTCTTTATTATGGAAAAGTGTGACACCAAATATGATGCTGACTACGTGTTTCTATTCTAATGAGTTTCGCATCAGTTTGCTGCTTGTTCCAGGCACAAATAACAGCCAGGCACCCGGAAAGAAAGTGAACATACCACACTAATAGAAGGCAGCGTGTGGAGTAGCTGTGGAAACATTTTCTGATGGCGAAAGTCTAAAGATAGGCTAGAGTACGCTGCACAAAAATAGAATCAGACCATGCAGAACTGAGCTTTGTTGAATAGTAGTTTAAGGTTGAATGATTCACCGTCAATAAAATGTGACAATACTTGCCTACCCTTACCATACAGACTGACACTGGATCATATGAAATCTACATGCCCTCTCTGAAGTTTCAGCTTTTAGTCTTGGGCCTGAAACAAAGAAAAATTTCAACCAGTATTTGAAACCAGTGCCTTTTATTGTATGTGTGCCCAGCCTTCAATTAATGCTCAGTCAAACCTTTTGGTTTAAAGGTGCTGTGGCTGCATTTCTAGTGATACATGGATGGATTTGCAGAGCTCCCCTTCTTCAGAGGAATAGAATCTCTCGGACAGTTTCAGGCCAATTCACAGGTTTCCTACCAGAATCATTCTGCACATAAATCTATACCCATTTTAATGGTAGTTATTTATATGTGACTCAGTCTCTTACAATAGGCAGTAGGTCCCTTCAGATCTTTGTATTTGTAAATATTTGTTTTTCCTCTTGGAGAGAAACAGTCCCATAACATGATGCTGATAGTAATATTTAATAGCATATATTAAATAATGTCAAATATAAACATAAATTAAATGTAAATTAATATCAAAAAGCCCCACCTCCTGCACATAATGGATGATAGTGCTAGATAATTAAGAGTGCAGAAATGGGACCTTGTGAAATGTGGCTTCAACACCTCACCCACAGCTCAAAGCTGTGGAGAATCTGCAAAAATGTCACTGGTATAGAGGGACTAGCATCGTCCACAGCTTCTTCCACATCGCCATAACCTCCCTTTTGAGCAGCCTCCTTGAACAGTCACCCTTGCTGAAACAACAGCCAGATCTACGCAACGTCACTGTGGAACCATGCTTCCTTGATTATAGCCTTTTCTGACAGCCATATTATATTAAAAGGGGTGTATACAGGGGTGGGGCCAGTGCTGAAAGCTGATTGGCCCTTGAAGTGCCCCTTCCCCTGACGCTCCCCGATTCAAAACATATTAATGATTAATGGCCCCTTTGTTTGAAATATGGCCTCTCATTAGTTCCTCACCTTAAAAAATCTTGGCATCACCTGTTTATTAGAGACTGTTGTATAATCTCCTACCTCCTGATTACTCCCTATCAGCACCATATAAAGCCCAAAGCCACATCAGATTCTAGACCAGTCCACCTTTCCCCTTGCTTGGCCAGCGGAAGGGTGACATCCTGTATTTCAGATTCAAAGTGGCTACCCGATATGGGTCAAATCCTAGAACTGCCCCTTCCATTAGTAATTTGCTGTCAGTGGTTTTTGTGTCATGCTGATGCACTGGTTTGCACTGTTGTCTCATACCTCTGACACCAGTGATTGAGTCTCTGGTCCAGTTCAACATGTGTGGAGTTTGTGTGTTCTCCCTGTGTCATCGTGGGGTTCCGCATGTGTGTGAATGGTGTGTGAGTTTGCCCTGTGGTGGGTTGGCACCCCATCTTGGGTTGTTCCCTGCATATCTTTTGGGTACAGAAAATGGATGGATGGTCACTTTTGCATAAGGACACATACAAAATAACAAACACCCCCCCCCCCCCCCCCCCCCCAAAAAAAACAGTTGGCTTTATTTTAATCCAGTCAGACTCACTTCAGTGATCTCAAATAAAGGTAAAATTAGCCTCCTGCATGATTTTCAGTTTGTTGCATATAATTTCAGCCGCTGTTATTAGAGGTATGCACATGGATGCCAATGGGGCGTTTTAGTGTTTGGAAACATGTAGACCTTTGTGTTTTATTGTGATTGTGTAGGCTACCATAACCGAATGAAGGTGAAAAAGTTTAATTGGATGGGTGTCTTCGTATTGAGGGAACAAAAAGTAGAAATTACAAGAGGTGTGTCTTTTTAGATACTGTATTCTTTTATCATTTATAAAAAAAACAGAGGAAGTATTAATATCTGCAGAATTGTGAGACCTTGATCAACAGAAACACGGTAATGAAAATGACCTTTGCACTTCCATATGATTTCAGTTCTGCTCTGCAGGTGGTTAGTCAGCGTATGATAGGTCATGGTAAAGGAAACCGGTACGTTTGCGGCCAATCGTGGTTACGCCTAGAGTAAATATGTAACCCACAAGGACTGATACTGGCGTGTGACAGTGCTTCCCAACTGAAATCAGCAGTATGGTAACTAATATGGATAGGTCGGTGTGAAACACTCATGGTTTGAGCATTTGATAAAACCTATTTCGTGGTCCTGCGTCAGTCAACCGATTATAACAATATGGTAAGTGTGTAGTTTTGTTACCTATGTCTTCTGTGGAAATTTAACAGCAGTTCTGCTGCCTTAATGGAGACAAGGGACCCCTCTGTAGGTCTAAAAGGTGTACAGCTGCGACATTTAAAGGGACATTATGAAAATCATTGGGCAGTACTAAAGTAACTTTTCACACGTAAATACAAAGCTGTAACATATGTAATTTAAAATGTTTTAGTTACAGGCAAATTAAAAGTATAAAATGTTTTTATAGAAGTGTTTTGTGACAGATGTTGGTCAAACAAGGAAGTAAATTCTGACTAGCAGTGAACACCACTGATAAGAGCATATTTGACCATTAAAGAAATGCAAATGGTTCAAAATGAAAAATTTGCTTCCTAATATAATAAATTAAAATGTTCAAATCAAGTATGGCAATAAAACGAAATCAAAATGACTCTATGACATGTTAATTAAATAAATGCTGATGATAATTAGAAAGCTCTAATGTGTCTAGTGGTGTGGAACCGCATTGTTTAGGTCTATTTAGTCAAGCTTTTATTTTCTTTTCATTGAGGGTTTTGTCAGCCATGTGAGGTATATTTACACTGCACAATTGTTCCTCAAACTGAGTTTCCGGCCACGGTGCTGTCTGGCTTCCCACAGGCTGACTCCGGTGCTCAAGCACCATCACAAAACACGCTGAACCAGGTGCAGGAGCAAGTCAACGATGTCAAGGTCATACTGAAAGACAACATCAACAAAGTCTTGGAAAGAGACACTCGATTAAATGATCTCATTGACAAAACCGATGATCTCCAGGCAACAGTAAGTTTTTAAAATCAAAACTAAACAGGTCTACAGCTCCTATTGATTTCTTGTATTTTTCTTTGCCTAATTTGATATAAAATTGTGGCCACACGGTAGAAGTGGGTAACAGGTTATTATCTACATAATCATAAAAAACATGCATATGTTGAATTGGTTTTGATTCTGGTCATGAAGCTGTTTTCTAAAAAAAAGGTTTTCTGTGAGTAGAGGAAGAATAGTTACACCAGAACTAAAATATAGCTTGCAAATTATAACTTGCAAAATTTCTCACCTGACCAAAGAGTATGAATCTTGTTTTATTTCATCTAATTTTCCCACTGTTCCTCCTGGTAAGGATCACAGTTTATAGAAATTTATTCAGAGACTAAAAATAACTTATAACACAATGTCCTTCTAGTAAGCAACTCCAAAGAAAGGGTTGTCAGCACCAATGAAAAAAAAATCTAAAATCTATATTTGTTCAAACCTAATTGGAAACGACTGCTCATTTTTAGTTTTTTATTTCATTTATTATTTAAAATACTTGTTGTAACATACTATTTCCTCCCAGGCTGACTCCTTTCAAAAGACGTCTACACGCGTGGCCCGGAAATACTGGTGGAGAAACACAAAGATGATGATAATTATAGGTGTGATAGTGCTGACCATCGTTATCATCATCATCCTACTGGCCACCGGTGTCATTCCCTCATAACTGTCTGCTCAAGGTGTTTCTACTATCCAGCCAAAAAGTCACATTTACAAATACAGACCTGTTTAATTGCACACACAACTATTAAATATATCAATTTATGGTTATAGTAATAATAGAGAATCTTTAATGTCTCTAAATGTCTGAAACAGTTCAAATTTTTACACTATTTTTCTTACACCGATGATTTAAATACATTCAACAACAAAAGGCGTATCCAGCCTATTCACATGTACATTGTATCCACATTATATAAGCTCAAAATATTGCCACATTAAATGAAGTATTTTAGATTTTAGATTGTATAATAATGAGGTTAATTTAATTTAAGGTGATGTTTATTTAAAGAACTGAATTTTTTTTTGGTTTTTCAATGTCTTTAAAGGAAATCAACTAAAAATTCCTGGTCATTAAATCTGTCCAGAAACTATAGTAACTCGATTCGGCTCATATAACCTATTCCACCGAGCCTAAAAGCCATCCTTGTCTCCTGTGATCCTTTCTTTTGCAATAAAGAAGTGATTCTGACCATGGAATGAGGATTGTGTCACTGACAGGTTAGAGCTAAAAGCTGTTAGGTCCTGTACAGCAGTGCAAAATTATAATAGACACTCCTCACTTAACGTCCGAGTTCCATTTGTACGAGTAGGTCGTTAAGCAAATTAGTTGGGAGCCGCCCCATACTGATATTTCAGGCATATTGTATTGGTAGTGGGTTTGCGTTAGCTAACTTTAGATATTGTTTTAATGTCACCTTTGCACCATTTATAACATTTTAGTATATTTATAAATGTTTATACAGTAGTGTACTGTATACTGTAATAAATATAATAGAAGGAATCAGCTCTAATACACATTACTTAATTATAGATTTGCATACTGTAAATACAGGTAATCAGATTGTGAACGCTACTGTAGTGAATACTGAACAACTGTGGGAAGACGACTGAGACCGAGAAAGGGTGATGCGAGACAAGATGCTTGACGCTGAGATGTCACGCTGCTGATTCCACGACCAAAGTTCTTGTACAGCGTACAATAACGACTGGCTGGAGAGCTGTTCGTAAGTCTGGGCAGTCGTTAAACAGGTAGGTCATTAAGCGAGGAGTGTCTGTATATGCATTGTGTGGTTAGACCAAAATAATAATTCTATACCTTAATCCTTATGAGAAATTTATGATAGAAGTAAAACCTTGTTGAACAAAAATGCATTTATTATTAAATCCACACATATCACTATATACTTTCCAAACTTCTTAATTTCTGTAATAGGAAGGCAATGCAGGAATGTTGTCATAAGTGCTTATAATACAATTGAAATGTTCTTCACAGAGATCACCTTTTTAAACAGCTGCTGTTCCTGGACTTACTGTAAACACTTTGGAACCGGTTTAATATATTTTATTTTGCAGATGTCAGCATTTGTATGTTAGCTAACATACTACAACAAATAATGAATTGGGTAATGGTATAAAAATGTTCCCCCGGCTGAATATAACAAAACACGCAAAACAATTAACTTTAACTTTGAGATTATCGGCAACATATCTGGAATATTTCATTAAACCAGCCATCTCAAAGTTACTCTGCTTTCAATATTAAAATGTTATATAACACATAATCAAAATATTTTGCTCTGGATTTTTTCCCCCCACATTTGAACGAGAGAAACAACTACACTAAATCATATTTAGGCATTTGTTTTCATGTGTAATTATTAACGAGAGTGCCAAAGCTTCTATATACTAGTACAGTAGAGTATTCTGTTCTTTATTGGAATTATCTAGTGCATAACAGAACATTAATGTTATTGACCATAAAAAAAAAATCTAGATGACTAACGTGATAACTTACAAAAAACATAATTATACAAAAGAGTTCATTTAGAAATACAAGCACTAAAATCTAAAGCTGTAAGTTTTATATATATTCACACAATGCCGCAAAACTCATTACTGAGGAAAAAAGGGTAGAACACTGAAGGCTTTTTAAAGTACCACAAAATACAACGTGTATACAAAGCCCAAACAGGGCTCAAAGAATTAAAGATCACAAAAGCATCAAAATAAAGCAATGACTTAACACATATAAAACAGAAAATGTGTCTCAGAAACTGGCTTGTGTACTTTTCTAAACCAGGTTCTTCCAAACTTCCGGCAGACAAACTATCCTCCAATACCTGAAAAAGACAAAAAAAAAAACAGACTGTCAAACAACCATTGTGTAAGTGAACAAAACGTACAAATTAACATTAAAAGGCATCCCTGTGTCTTTACACGATCCATTATTGACACAAAAAGAAAAGATAAATCTATAATTAACAATAAAAAAAAAAAATAGTCCATAAGCTAGAAATCCTGAAGTGTCACAAATTGAAGATGTCGAAAGCCAAATGCAATACTGATAAGAAAATCCTTCAATTGTTCAGAAAAGCAAAAAGAATACACAAAGTAAACATTACATGCAAATTTTTGTAAACATCGGAGCAGGTTTTCAAAAGGTTAAAAAAAGAGAACTTGTTAGAGGAAAATTAACGAGGTTTACAATGGAAGCTTTCCTCCGCTGTCAGTAACACAAGAGACAATACAGGTATAGATATAAAGGACTTCTCCAACGCAGTGGCATCCAAGTAAAACCAGGTTTTAGCTCATGGACTAGTGGGCATTACAGCTACAAGGGCTATGAATAAAGAAAAGCAAGCATTACATTTAGATTAGAAATGCATATATTAAAAGACACTGGAAAATCCAGAGAAAGCTGTATCCTTTGAAAAATGAAGAGTTATTTTTTCAGTAAGAGGTCGTATTTAACCATTACTTGTGGGGGGGCCTGCAAAAAATACCATTAAAATTACATTAATGTATTCCTTTACATTATAAAACAATACCCAAAAAAATTAAAAGAAGAAGACAAAGGGGATGTATCCACTTTATTATTTGTTTTTTTTTTTTTGTTTTTTTTTGTTTCTTTTTTACAATGCTGATACAGGATGTCGGAAGACCATACCAAACGGTGGCATTCGAGAGCGTACGCCTCTCGTACCCTGTCCGCATTGAGCGGGCCTGAGTGAATCGGGAAGGCAGCGGGACTCATGGCCTGCAAGGAAGTTCCCGCTGGCAGGTACAAACAAGGTATATGTCAGAATTAGGAGACAACATTCTTCTCTTTTTCCTGCCATTTCCTTAAATTTCGGTTCCCGTTTTTTTTTTTAAGCAGTACTTTACCTGTTAACTTTACGGTTAACTTTACCGTTACCGGCACAAAGCATGGAAAGCCGGACGTTACATATCGCGCAAAAAAAAAGTAAAAATAAAAAAATAAATAAAACCACAAATAGAGACTGTTGTCTATGTTACCATTACTGTAAAGCACTTGAGGGTGCTGTGAAAAAATAATTAAGCATGTACATTAAACAATAGAGCGGTAAATATAGTTATGAAAAAAATATGCTTTGTATTAACAAAGGTTTGTGACAAGCAATATGGTAACGTACCTGCTTGTACTTAGTGGGGATAATATATTAGTATGGCTTGTAACTGTTTTGGTGACCACCTCGCCTTGGGGATTTGCCATAACCACTCTGCTGATCTAGAGGTTGAGCAAACAAAAACAAAAACAAAACAAAAAATCTATCATTAAATATCAGTTTACAGGACGTGGCTTCACTGAAGATTTGTTGGTGCCAATGACCATCCTTATGGAGTTTTAACAACAGCACCGCTAACTGCATGATGTGGTAGTGATTTAAACAGCCGCAACGTCTGCAATTTAACATAGTTCTTGATGATAACTAGAACGACAAACAAATCCCTGCACTGAAATGAAATATACTAAATATGCTTAGGTCTCCAACATCACTGAGGTCAAAAGCCCAGGCAAACATATAAGGTGTAGCTAATTGTTTATGGCAGCTATTAATAAATGAAGTACCAATGTAAGAAACTATTTCTCATTTTTCATATAACTTTGTACTGAAGGAAAGGGTGATCATTAAAGAAACAGAAAACATATGGAATGAATTTGAATGAAGAAAAGGTTGTTTATTTTTTAAGGATTCTTTCATTGATCATTTAAAAAATATGAAATATTGGCATGTCTAATGACGTCAAAGCACTTTTGTTTTTACTTTTTTAAATAGGCAATTGTTCTTGGGTCAAACACTTTGCATATTATAATATACTTGCATAATTAAAATACAGCACTCTAAACAAATTAAAAAACAACAACAACAACAACAACAAAAGACAAAGACAACAGAATTCACTTTTCTATGAACCATGAATTTAGTTACAAAGAGAAATGGAAGATGATGCATAAATAAACTGTTCAAATGTTTAATAAAAAATGTATGAGAACAGATTATTTTCTTAGTTTTATTATGTGTGTTTACACAAACAGTTACATACTGCTGTAGTCACCATATCCGTAGTAGTTGTTATATCCGGAGTAATCGTAGCCACCATACCCCCCGTAGCCTTGGTTGGTGTAGCCGTAGTTACCATAGTTACCATAACCTTGATTCCAGTAGCTGCCATAGCCTTGATTCCAATTTTGATTTGGACCTGAAACACACAGTTTTCAGCTTAACCACACTGGAAAAACATACACAGTGGCTGATAAGACCAATATTGCCCGTCGGCTCTGCTAAACCAAACTCTGATGTTGCTGGAAACATATCCAACATGCAAACTCATTTGCATGTTGGATCATCATCCGAGTATGTGTACAACTGGAGCAAGGCAGAAACAGTCTCTGCATTTAAGGCGTTTTCGCCAGGAAATTCAAACTGGACTAAAACAAAAATAACTAAGACTACTGAGGTGTTTATTGTTATAGATAAGAAACCGTACTCGGTAGTATACTGTAGAACACAGGACATAAACAGGATTTAGTTCATTACGATTGCTATGATGTTATATTTTTTAGCATTTATTTTTACAATGTGCAAATGAGAGTCTTTTACATTTTGCTATTCAGACACGTCGAGAAATGCATCACCTTCGATTTAAAACTGTTCCTAATCATGTCTGCAATTTTAATAAACTTCAAAACAAATTGCTGTACTGAAATTGCACCGAACTGCGAACCAAAACCAATGTTCCAAAAACCGAACTGTGAATTTTCTGTACTGTTATATTTTAATTTCATGTTGTGTGTAAAGAGTCTGACCATGCACGAGAACAAATTCCTTGGACATGTGAATGCCCTCAGCGAAATAGTGCTTCTAATTCAAACTCCAATATGTAGTCTGGAGCCTTGTATGCACCAGAGCGGTGTTCCGGAAAGATGAGGAGAACACTTACCACCTCTCCCCCGAGACCTGGAAGGATAACCACCTCGGCCCCCCCACTGCTGCTGCTGGTACTGTTCTTTGGACATGGCCACTTTAATTTCACACTGGAAAACATGACAAATCAACATTAAAAGTAAAATAAACAGTAACATGCTGGAATATTTTATCTATCCAATACTACCTGTGAAACAAACCTCACAGAAAGTATGTCTGAGTTTCTCCAGCACTTGAATCATTCATATTCAATAGGGGCGGGAAAAAAAATATCTATTTCATGATTAATCCCTATCCTGGTTTTGACGATTTGATTTCAATTCATAAAATCCCAAGACCAACCTTCTTAATTCATGCTTTTTCCTGTGACTTTAAAAATATTTTTCTTGAATTTTACTTGTATCAGTCCTCTTATCGTATAGGTGGCACTACTTTATCTCTCACCTATAGGAGAGTTGCAATAGTATTGCACAATCGCCTCGCCTCAAGTCAAGTAGCGCGTTACTCTCACACCAGTCATTCAGTACACTGCTTATGGTGACGCAAAATAAATAAAATTAAATAAAAGCAAACGATGTAAAGAGAAAATGGATATTAGTGGATGCCTTGCTGTCAGTTATGAGAATATTGTTAATTATCTGTTTTTTCAAACGTTGTGGGTAACAAGCAAATGAAAGCAACTAAAGGTCTGCAGGTATAATGTATTTCCGGCTGGGTACGAGAACTGAATAAGGAAAAGTGTGGAGGAAATATTTCACAGGCAAGTACAACAATAAATGTTGTTTTACAATGTTAACGCTACAGTGCTGTGCCTGTTGTTTTTGTAACAGATCTGGTTTGATCACCCGTCAGTGAATGTGTCAAACGGAGATTGAATGGAGTAACAATGAAATCCAATTGGGCACTTGTGAATCATATTGTGAGGTCAGGGCTGATTCCCAGCCCTTAATAATAACCATATGCTCCTCAAATAAGAAGATTTTAATTCATGTCTTGGCACATATCTTTAAGTTAAAGTCCTTCTAAAAAATGGCATGTGAGCTGTAGACTTCCCATTTTTTATGTTCAGTTATTCTTTTCAATTAGAAGTCATTGTTTGTGCTTTGATAGATAGGTTGGTTTTGTTTAAGGAACTGTACCTATATGTTCCTCAAATAAAAATATTTTGATACACAAGCCTTTGGCCTTTCTTTAGTGGTTTCCACAATTTGTTCCCAGTGACTCTGCATTTCTAAATTTGTATCTCTTTTGTGTTAGACTGATATTGAATCAGAATCAAATTGGATTGTATCGAATCATTAACTTGTGAATCGGAATTGAATTGGGGCGCCTGTGCCAATACCCAGGATTAATATAAGTGTAAAAATACATTTACTGAACACAGATGTGCATGTATCATGAAGCAGTGCAGCTGTTCAGCACATTTCCTTGTAAAGAAAAGACTAACAGGAGTTACCCTGCAGCTGTGCTCAGGTACAGGGCTGGGCCTGAATACCCTCTGTAAACATCCAGGTATGCAAAGGTACTGTAAAAACAGGACATGCTGCAACCATATGCTTAGTACAATAATGTATTCTTTTTTAATAACAAACACTTTCTGAATTCGGAATCTTTTGATATTGAAAGCCTACAATAAACTTGGGAGGTCTTGTTAACTAAATAAAACAATGAAACTAAATAACCTGCAAAAGAACTAACTTAACCAACACCTTTGGTTTAAAACAAACCACGGAAGATTCTAATAATAGGGTATTTGCTAATGTTATACAAGCCCTTGATACTTGAGAAAAAAATTAATTCAATTACTCTGTACTGCTTAGGTAAGTAAGTGTGAATGACCACTGACTGGTGCCATGGTACACAACAATGTCACAGTCCAACCAAGCTACAGGAGCGGTATCGTTTTATAGCCATTTTCATTTTTCCACAGGAGTTAGCTAACAGGCTAATCACTCTCTGAACCTTTGAAGCAGCAATGTTGGTACATTAACTGCAAAAAGTACATAACTAATAAACAGATGACAAAATGCTCTTCAGAGCCATGGCACAAACATTAGATGAAAAGGTTAGAACTTCACGAAGATCCTGGAGCATGCACAGGCATACCTTGCTCAGTCCTATGTTGTGGTACTTCTTCTCCATGATCTTCTTGACAGGCTCTTCGTCTTTAAAGGTTATGAAGCAAAATCCTCGTCTTTTATTCGTCTTATTTTCCATGGGAAGTTCAATGGCTTCCACCTAAAAATTGAACACCCGAGTCAAACTAGATCTAATTGTACATTAAGGTGAACTGCAACAGAGTGGGTCAGTACAGCTGCCAATCATCAATCTGTGTTGCCACTGTAGATCAGTAAGCTAATTATACATTCAGAATTGCTGGAGTGGAATTCATTTTAAAAAAGGTAGAAATTTTAACTCATGCTGCTAAAGAGAGCTGCTAAACTGTTTTTCACTGTTTCTGTAATAGTGACAATATAGATCTCTCTTATCTTAAATTGTACCTCTCCAAATCCACCAAAGTACTCTCGAATTTTTTCCTCCGGCGTGTCTGGAGAAAGGCCACCAACAAAGATCTTCTTAACTGGTTCCTTGGTTTTCATGGCCTTGGCCTTTTTAGGGTCAATTACCTTGCCATTTAGTTTGTGCTCCTTTTGTAAAATAACCTGAAAGAACATAACAAATATCATCAGGACACAATAATGTCTGTTACAAAGTTAAAGAAACAGCAGTAAAATCTCATATAGAGAAAGTCAAAGGGAAACGTAATTAATGCCTTCATTTCCATTTCTACATCTGTTCTATAACCAAATCCATCAGTCATGTTCTACACGTGGTTCATAGCTGATGCAATGATACAAATTGGGAATTCAAAGCATATATATGCAAATTCTCTCCTTCTCATGTCCAGGACAAAATGTAAGACAAACAAGGCAGTTCACTTACAATACAACCAGCTGCCAATCACAAAATCACAGGAGAAGACAACTGTGTATTTACAAAGAATTAGTAATGCCAAATAATGCAACTTATAAAACTTTAATACCTATCCCAACTAATTGGTGAAAATCAAGTAGTATCAAATAGACAGTTTATCACATATGTAACAAAAATATATTAAGTATACTATATGGCTATACTACACAGTCTAACCATGCAGGAAAGACTGCTGCTTTACTATTCATATATTCTTATCATAATAAGTTTGTAAATGAAGTCATTACCTGTGCCTTAATACTGAATTATTAGCATATAAAGCTTTAGTCCTGTGGATGAGCCTCACTGGTGGTCCCTGAACCAGGACAGCAGAGTGTAGAACACACTGTCCAAGTTTGGACAAGAATAAGGCAGTCTGCTGAGCATTCCTGCGTTTTGCAGAATCTGCCCCTCACTCAATGTCAGCTACTATCTCAGGTCTTGATACTACATAGACCAAATATCATGTGTTCTCTTTAGCTGACAGGAGCATTGGTCTATAGCCCTGGGTTCCAGGCTCCAGCAGAGATCCTCCTACAGTGTGCTACGGTAGTTAAACAGTGACCTCAGACATCTCGACTGAGTCAAATAGTCCCTCGGAGCCCTAGGCACTTGTCTGGTTTGATGGTATCCTGCCATTCCTCCAGATGTTTCACACTATGCTCATTTTTACTCAGACCCTTGTCAACCAAGAGGAAGAAAGTGTGGGATTTATTTTAAAGAGGTCTCATGTTTTTTGATGCCAAGAAGCTAGTAGATTTGTACAGAAATATGTCCGTGTCAAACTGTAGTCAAATGGACCAAGCCACTGACCAAATGGCCATTGGTGCCACTGACATGAGAGTTTCACACTGATTCGCACTGCTAGATATTCTCTGACCCTAGCACTCAGAATCTGGAGTTGTGGATGCTCACGTCATGCCCCCCACCAAATACTGCCTCCCAATACATAACAGCAAAGGTTTTATGCCCTCAGCTGACAGTCAAATCCCCTGATTCAACATCCTTCAATACTTAGCACTCTTGAGCAATTTTCACACACAAACTCTAGACACACTGCAGAGAATCAGGTTCGGACATTTTCCAGAGTTGCCTTTTCAGACACTGCACACAACCAGAGATTGTCCGTGTCAGACATGTTCACACCAACTGTACCAGAAATACTCCAGCTGATTTAGACAAGGGGTGATGCTTGAGTAGAACATGCAGGAGGCAGGACATGATGCAAAAAACATCAAAAATGTTTGGTGTTCACCTTAGTTCCGATTATACTGCGGTCACATAGCTGGTCTTGTAATTTGACATGATGCAAATGTCATCGACATGCCCACTCACCCATGGTGAATTCACTGGGCAATATCCTGCTCCATTCACACATGGGGGTCACTTGGAAATTACCTGGTCTTTGTACAAGGGAGCTATCAGGGAAAAGTCCATTTAATGTCAAGTACAACTGATTTGCATTCAAACATACAGCCCCTCCGGGGAATGTCTAGAGAAGTTCAGGGTGGCAAGATATGTCTAAAACAGGCTTTGGTTTAAGAGACCTTCGTTCTGCAAGGCCCTGATGGCATAACATGGCCAACTGGAGCACAAATCTCACCATAACTGTAGGGGAGCATTGAATACAGCCTCTCCTCATCAACATCAAGTGCTGATAAGTACTCAGTGATGAAAGAGTGGTAGATACATTTTAGCAAATTCATTATGGTTTCAACTCCAGTCTAACCAAGAACAACATAATTTCACACCCTTGATTTAAAAAACTCAACGATCAATCACAATTATAGCAAAAATATGTTGGTGAAACTAAATGCAGGTAAAATTCGATGAAAATCTGGAATGCTTTTTATGTCTAGTTTATACTGTAATGACAACCATGTTGATGTCTGTCCTGTGCATTATTTTACACAAAAAATGCGCTTTTCTAAATTAGATTATGATAGTATTCCTGCATTTTCATTGCATTTCCAAACTGTACTTAGACTGGCTATATACAACACATTCTGATTGTGCTGCATTACATTCTCCTTTATATTGACGTAAACAACCGAAAGGATATTTGAATCATAAGATATCCACACATTTATAAACATCAAACATCCAAACAAAGAAAACAATTTAAGATCAATGCCCAGCACATATGGAAGGCTAGGTGATCATTCATTCATCAATCCATCATCCCACCACATATCCTGGTCAGAGTCTAAGCGGGGCACGGAATCACCAGTCCACTGCAGGGCACACACACACAGCTGTATGCAATGGACCATTTAACTGCATAACTTTAGACTGTGGGTGGAAACCCATGCAATATGGAGAGATCAGGCAATCTGCACGGACACACAGACAGACCAGAGGCAGGATTCAACAGTGCTGCCTTCAGAGCCACCATACTATCTTCCAAATGATAACTTACATATGATAATATGGTTCAAATAATCAAATCATGTGATTTAAAATTTCAGCAGCAATGTTCTACAGTAACAATGATGACAAAACCAAATGAGGCAGGGTGCAACTGCACAAAACAGAGCCAGTACTGCACAATTATTCCCTGTTAATTCAAAAACTCAGAGCACATAAGTTAACAAAAAAACTCCTTTCACATTTGGCTTTAGACCATTATATATATATAAAAAATTACTGAAATATATACATAGTATACCAGTGTCATGGAATACTGTGCAGCACAAGCATAATTGGATGTGAAAACTGGACAATGGACAAATAGGACAGGAACAGAATCTACACTTTTAAACTTTCACAAAGACTTAAAAATCAAATGACTGATTCCATCTTACTTTAGGTGTATCATGAGAAGACCAAGTGTGTTGTAGTCTACCATATTGCTTGGAAAAGTTGAAAGTAAGAGGAGCAGGACAACCAGCTACCAGATGGATTGACTGAATCATTACAACAATGAACAGGCCTTTAGGAAGCCTGAAGAACTAAAAAGAATGTTCTGGAGGAATGCCATCTACAAGGTCTCCATGAGTCATCATCAACTTGACAAAACCTATTCATAATGCAACCCCGTTTCCAAAAAAAGTTGGGAAGATGTGCAAAACGTAAATAAAAACGGAATGCAATAAATTGCAAATCATATAAACCCATATTTTTTATTGTTTTATGACAAATATATGCTCGATTTGAATTTGATGCCAGCAACAGGATTCAATAAAATTGAGACAGGAGCAACAAAAGACTGGAAAACTTCTGTAATGCTAAAGCAAAACACCTGGTTGAATTTCTTACTTCTATTACGTTAACTGGCAATGGGTCAGTAAGTTGACTGGGTATGAAAAGAGCCTCCCAGAGAGGCAGACTCTGTGCAGTGAAGATGGGGAGACGTTCACCACTCTGTGAAAGACTCATGGGCAAATAGTGCAACAATGTAATAATAATGTTCTTCAATGTAATATTGCAAAGAATTGGGGGATTTCATCATCTATGGTGCATAATATTATTTAAAAGACATGATTCTATAGTGGAAATTACTGCATGGGCTCAAGAACATTTCCAAAAACCACTGTCTGTGAACACAGGTCATCGCTGCATCCACAAATGCCGTATGAAACTCTACCATGCAAGAAGAAACCACATTCTGCGTGTATTATAACAGCATGGCTCCATAGTAGAGTCTGGGTGCTAGACTGGCCTGCCTGTAGTCTAGACCTGTCACCCATTGAAAATATTTGCCACATCATGAAATGAAAAATACGACAAGGGAAACCTTAAACTGTTGAGCAGATGAAATCCTACTGTCATTCTTGGTCTCAAAGCTGTGTTGCTGGTCTAATCCATTGTCCAGTTAGGATCACCAGCAAAATTAGATGACACAAGTAATAATGCATGAATACAGGTCAGAGAGATTAAACAGTATTTAATAATAACCTAGGTACTTTGCAAAACAGAAACTCAACAAACAGCCTTGTGATGTGTTCCGTGAATAATGCCTGAATACATTAAATTTGAGGGGACCAGTGTCTGTACCGGACAAGCATGTGAAAATAGAATAATTAAAAAGGAAATACCTTCTCAACGCTGTCGGGCTCTTTGAACAACACAAAACCAAACCCCCTGGACCGTCCTGTCATTGGATCCAGTTTAAGCGTGCAGTCCGCTACCTCCCCGAACTTCGAGAAATAATCTTTTAAGTCCTTCTTTGTAGTATCCCAGCTCAGGCCTCCAACAAACATTTTTCTGTTTGGTGGAAAAACAGGTTTAGAACGTACAGCTTCTTTGATATATTATGTTTAACTGTAAGGAAACAGGTGTGGATTAGTCTACATGTAAACCCATCACTGTCAGTGACAAATTATCAAATAATCAATTTTGGGCACCCTTGACCACAGAAAACCTAAAGTGTCACTGCTCCGGTTCCGCTAACTTTTGAGTATAATTAATTCTTAATGATTAGTAGAATCTTTCCGATACCTGCTCTCACCTATAAATACATGTGTGCCCGTGTCTTTTAAAATGGGGTTTGCGAAAAATACTCAAGGGCATGAATAAAGTATCATCTATATCATGAGGTATCCCTATCAGTGTCACAATTCTGCTACCTTTTACATATAGGCCACGGTAATATTAACATTAAAATAAAACCTACAATCACAAAGCTGCACGTTACACCTGACCTAGTCTGTCAAATCGATGGATACATGCGATTTCTAGATGTATAACTTCGACACAACATTGTAATTAGCAGTCCACGGAAAGTTACGGCAATACAGAGCACAAAGATACAGTGCTAACTATGCACAGTTCATGTTTAGTGCCTATCTAGTCTTCCGGCACTACAAAATCAGCGGGTCAGTCAAGTCAAACTAGACACTCGGGCAACAATGTAGCGCAGTGACGCCGCGTTAAACGGCGTTACGGTCTGGATACTCAAGTCCCCGTCCTGTGAGTGTTAGACTAGCCAGACTAGGTGGCTAGCAGACAGCTAGGCGCCTTAGTGACGCGGAGTGAGGCTCGCGGGCTCCTCACCCCTCGTCTTCCTCGTTCTTGCTAGCGTCTATCTTGGAGCCCTCGGACATCGCCGAGCCGCTCTCCACGGCCGGCGGCATCTGCTCGCTGTTAGCCTCGCCGTCCTCTTCCATCTTCATCAGCGAGTCGTCGCTGACCAGCAGCTCGTCTGACATTTTTTTCCTTTTACCTTTTGAAAAAATACGCTACACGGTAACGTTGCGTGCGAGCTAGCCGGACAGTCACCCACCGCAGTCGGCGCCAACTCCCCGGGGCCGTCCCCCTACGCTCCCCGCTAGCCACCTAACCAGCTAGCCGGTTAGCTTAGCCGCGGTAGCTCTACAGTCGATTTCTCGCCGCAGCGGACAGAAAGCGGTCGCTACGCCCAATATTCACGTTTAAATCCGACTGTTTGATATCTATGTTCACTAGCAGTGTTTTTACTCAGTAGTTACGCTAACCGCATATGTATATATAATGGCGCGGATGACAAAATGGTCGCAGGAAGGAAGCGGTGCTGGCGCTGACCGGGATATGACCAATCCCATCGGCTTCCGTCGGCTCCCTTCGGAACGCTTCGGGCGACGGCGCCTCCCGTAGTGCTCCTAAGTTCCCTGTTTACCTATGAGCGCGCGTGCGTAGAGCAAGTGCGACTTCATGCCGAGTAACTGCAAGAGAAACTCAGCGCCGCAAACCACAGGCGCTGTTCGACGGGTGCGGCTGCAGTTATAAAAATCTCCTTTCTGAAGTAGTAGACTAAAGTGCAGTAACAAACACCAGAACAGGCTTTCCAAGGAAAGCAGATTAGAAAATAAGCCCCTTCTTCACCTCAACTATTATGTATATGAAGGATCATCAGAATTCCCTAATGATTTTCCCATTTTTAAATTAGTGATTCCACTCTGCATTTATACACATCACCCAGTAAGTTTCATATCTCCATAAGGCATTACCAGTTAAACCACAAACAAATCACACACCAGTTTTGTACCCAGTTTTTAATAATCCCTTTAGAGATGGAAAAATAAAAATCAAACAAATGGAACGCTTTACAAAACAGTGACAGGACAGCTTCATTGCATTACAACACCAATGTCAAAAGTATGAGAATCCCCAGAACAAAAAAAGGCCACTATTTACAAAGCTCCACACAGAGTCAACCTTCTCAGGAATAACAAAATTAAAAAAAAAAAAAAATCTTGTTTAAAAAGGACCAAAAATCTCCAAGCTGCCGCCAGGGTACGAAGTGGAATCCTCAGCTGGCCTGCCCACCTGGAAGAGAGGAAACAAGGAACATCAATCATGTGCACCATGGCAACTGCTGATACCGAAATCGAGCACGTCCATGTTTCACTGAGAAACGTCTTGTGCTGTCAACTTTAAGCTATTAAGGTTCCTGTTCTGTTTGAAAGATCATATGTACAACATGTAGCTCTCAGGGGGGAGGGAGAGGGAAAATTAAACTGTCAGCCGGAAAAAGCTTTAGCTCCGCTAAACTGGTGGATTCTCTCACCACTAAGGAGCAGACCCAAACATAAGTCTAACCCCACTGCATAATCCCATGTGCTACATTTCAGTCTCAGAAATCATGCTAGTGACACCAATCTATTAATTTATTTAAGCTTTTTATGGCTTCAGAAAGCATGTCCACATATGATCTTTAACAGAAAACTTAAGAAAAAGTGTTGTGGTGTTTATCATTTGAAGTTCTTTAATGGCTATAAAGAAAAAAAGCAAGCATTAAGAGTAAGCGATTTAAAAGGGGTTCACTTAAGAAAAGAAAAAACGAAGGTCCAGAACTGAAATGACACTAAAATAGAGAATACAATACAGTCGTTAAAACCATTTAGGTCACCTTTAGATTTCTCATTTTTTAATTCCTGTAAAAAACCATTTTAAAAAACCGTTAAAGAAAACACCGTCAACTTAAAAAATAAAAAGCGTGAGATCCTTTTTGTTTACTTTTCTTTTCCCTGGTTGGGTTTTTTGTTACACGCTGGTACATTAAGTTGGAAGAGACCATACCACAGGACAGCGTTTTCTTGTGCATGCCGTGCTCTCTGCCCGCTATGTGCGACGCCCAGAGAATGTCGTGGTCAGGTGACACACGGCCTGCAATGAAGTCCCCACTGGCAGGTACAAACAAGGTACAATAGAATTAGGAAGAGGAAAGAAGTAAAGGATAGGTCCTTACTTTGTACCCTTTAGCAGTACTTTACCTGTTATTGCTATCAAGTCTCTTTATGTAATTTCCATATGACCTGTTACGAAAATGAAAGCAGGGGGAAAAAACCCGCAGAAAAACGCTTATGTTTTTCTGGAGAGCTAAAAGCAAAACTGCTTATAGGAGCAGAGGCAATTAAAGATCCATAGACAAAGTCACTTGTCCAAAAAAATTTATAAAAAAAAAATCCAAAATGGGGACCATGGAGAAATCTGACCACTTGTTTTCATTTGACTTTGGTTTTGTCTATTGATCTTTAAAAGCGCCAACGTCAGACAAACAGCAGGCCTTGTGCTACACCCTTACCAAATTTTAATAACGTGAGCTCTGGTCAGTAGGGCTGATAGTTGTTCTGGTGGTTTCCGCCTTCCCGGGAAGCTTTTCCGTAACTGCTCTGCTGGGCTGGTGATGGATGCATTTCCATTACAATAAATCACAAGATCAAAATACCTAATCTAAATTGACCAAATTTTCCCACAACCTAGAAAGATGTAGGCAAATGGCATATTATTCTGCTTACAATTCATTAAAACACATTCTACTGTTCTTAAAGGTAACTGTAGCAGGCATGTTCACTGACATGAATGACACACATGTTGCCGAGGTAACATCCACTGGACACTTTGGCTTACCGTTGTAGTCGTCGTAGCCCTGTCCGTACCCATAGCTATCATAGTTGTAGCCAGAGTAATCATAGCCAGGGTACCCATTGTATCCTTGATTGTATCCATTTCCATAGCTTCCATAGTTCTGGCCGTAATAGTTGTATCCCTGGCTGTAGCCCTGATTCTGACCTATAAAAATCAGCAGGGGGACATTTCAAATGTTTCAGAGATGCAAGAAAACATAATCATGCAATTACTTGAATGCAAAGCTACTGAACAGCCACAGTTTTCAGTTGCTGCAGCCCTGCCCGCTCAGATTTTGAGGATCAGTACAGAAATCTATGAATACACAGGCTGGCATCAAGTGACTCATTTTAGCTTGGACACCGGCGAGCGTGATTAGTGGGACGTACCTCCCCGTACGCGGCCCCTGGAACCTTTTCCTCCATATCCACTCCGGTCTCCTCTGTGTTGCTGCTGTTGCCTGTAGACTTCCTTCGGCTGGGCAACCTTGATTTCACACTGCAAAACGTGTCATATTAAATCACAAATGCCAGCACCCTGAGTAATGCCTTTATACTTTGGGCTTTTCCAATGAGCAACTAATGAGTTACAGCTCAAGATGCAGAATTGTATCACCTCCTTGGGTGGCCAAAGCACAAAGATAGACAGCACGGCATCACACTATATACCTTTCCTGATCCAACTTGATGGTATCTGTTTTCCAGCAGCTTCTGGACTGGCTCCTCCTCCACATACGTCACAAAGCAGAATCCCCTCCTCTCCTTGGTCTTGGTGTCCATAGGAAGCTCAATGCTGTCGATCTGAAGCAAGACAACACCGAAGAATCAGCTGGGTCTGCTGACTGAAAGATGCTCCAGCCAGCAAAGTGTCAGGTGCCGACATCTCACACAACACAGAATGTATATACTATCTACACCAGCCAGCCCCAAAGGAAGCGTTACTTACTGTGCCGAATCCTCCGAAATATTCCCGGATCTCATCCTCTGACGTCTCAGGCCTCAGGCCCCCAACAAAGACTTTCCTGGGAGGCTCCTTCCCCTTGAGCGCTTTGGCTCTTTTAGGATCAATAAGTTTTCCATCAAGCTTGTGCTCTTTGAACTCCAACACCTAAAGAAGCATTAGAACGTATTAAGAGGGCACAACAGATGTCACACACACACACACACACACAGAATTATACTGACCTTCTCCACACTGTCCGCGTCTTTAAAGAGGACGAAGCCAAAACCGCGAGAGCGGCCCGTAATGGGGTCTGTTTTGATGGTGCAGTCCAGGACCTCACCGAACTTAGACAGATAATCTGTGAGGTCCTTCTTGCTGGTATCCCAGCTTAGCCCACCAATAAACATCTTCCTGTGGACAATAAACACAGTAAATGCATGTCTTAAATTTGGTAGCAAAAAATTAACCTACATTTCACTTTAGAAAGAACGCATAAACCATGCCAAAACATCAGACTGCATTGGTTCCAATTAAACTTCTCTTATTCCCAATAACACCACGTTTTTCTCCTGAAATTTTCTGGAATACAAAAAGTTATAACTTCAAAAATGTCGCAGTGAAAACTGGGCTTGGACTAAACGTTCATGAATTCAAAAGGAAAATTGCCCTAACCTCTCCCAGTGTGTCTGTTTCGGAACATATCTCCAAACGCGACCTGGAAAATACTATACATGACATCACTAAACTATCATACGGAAAATATCGGTCTTAAATCCTCCTCGTTTATTCACTCACTTTCATACTAATAGAAAACGAACGTAACCTAAAGAGATGCAAAAAAAAAGAGATGGGCAGTGACCTTAAAATGATGGTAACTGATGAAATCCCACGTTAGTAGGACAGGAAACGCACTACTCGGGCGCGATAATCCAATTTCCCTTAGATAAAAATTAACCTGTGGCACCTTGGCCAAACCGTGCGCGCACGGTAAGCCAATTTTCTGTGTTAACGCCGCTGATCTGTAAATATAACCGGAAAAGACCACAGAAACTGAATCCATGCAAAGGAGGGAAAGCGGCCGCCATTTGCCCGGATCCACGTCGACCGGCTGCGCTTCCGCAGACGCCGGACAAACAGCGGCTTTATCCCCGGTAAAGGAGAGGATCAATCCGGATACTCGTAAAGAAAGAAAGAACCAGTTTCCCCGGATCTGACATCTTTGACGAGGGCGGAAACGTGATTACACGCACTCTCGAAGTTTAGTGGTAGCTTTACTACTTTTGTTTACCAGCTTGAATACAATTCCACGCATTTACCCCTCATTCCGTAACGGTAAACGCATCGCTCTATTATAGCCTTCGGTTGTATTATTTTCGGATAATCCCTCCATCGCATACCTTTATTAACGATAGATTATACGGTTAGATCAACAAATCCCACACCCCAGCGCGTTACTAATGCGTAGTCTCTAGAGTAACATCTGTTTCGTTCTTTAAATTTCGACTGTCGACAGGTTATACTATAATATGCTAGCATTAGCCTAAAGCTATTACTAACAACCCACAAGCTGGCGCGACACGGTACGTAACCAGTAAGGCACCGGATTTGCCCACATAAATCGAGTAGTAATTACTCGCCCGGCTACTGGCGGCTCAGTTTCAGAAACCCCAAGATTTGGGTTACTGAGGTCTGTGGAAAGGCTAGCGGCGACAGCGCCGGCGGAGAGACTTCGCCATCTTGTGTTCCCGCCTCGGCGGCCGCTTTTCTTACCCGTCATCTTGCTGGTTTTTACTCGCGTTGATTTTAGACCCTTCGGGGAACTCCTCTGCGTTAAAGTCGGCCTGTCCTTTGGCTTCCATTTTTTGCAGCAAGAAACGAGAACCCGCTCAAAATTTTTAGCTAAAAAAAAAACACCGCACGCGGGAGCACAGCAAGCACTATTTCGCGTCGTGCAAAATGGCGGGCAGAGACGGGGGGTGAGTGAGCCTTCAGTCGTCCGGGGGCCGTGCTTCGACGCTCCGCCTCCTCTGGGTCCTTCTGCCCTGTAACGTCTTTCATTTGTCAAAACAAGAACTTCAAAAGCGCGTGGAAAGACAAAAAATTTGCTTCAATGCATTTTAAACATATCCGAAGATTTGCACGTTCACAGTCGATCTCATTCTTAAATACCTCTAATTAGAATGGTAGTAATTTTAAGTTAATAGTTTTTATTTTAAAGCAAAATTAAAACTCTATTTTCAGTGTTTTATGTATTTTGTAGTTTTATCATTCACCTGAGAGTGTTGTGCTTAGTTTCCATCTGGTACACAGCTGTACCAAACCACGTTTACATTGTAAGGTGCCAATATTCTCTATCTTAATTTTGAGGTTTCATGTCACATAAACCCATGTCTTTAGACTGCAGGAGCAAACCTTCACAACCCAGAGAGAACATGCAAGCTTCCAATCATGGAGATGTATGGCAACAGTGCTACCTTTCTCTATCTTGGTTCTAGTTTTGGTCTAAGGTGAACATCACTATTTCTACACTGTGATTAATATTCTGTTTTGCTTTTTAAAGGTGTGTCAAAAAAGCTGCTATTCCAAAATCTCATGGATATGCCAGCTATGTCAGTAAAATGTATGGACACTATAGTAATGTTCCGGGACAGAACCAGGATGGGCGGCTCACTGTGAAGTCATTGTAATGATTTACCCATAAAATACAATGAGCGTGTCTTGTGACGGATATCACGTGACGGAGACAGACCAATGACTGGATGGTACATAGGTTGCTGGTCTGACATTCTTCCCCAATGTTTCGTAGGAGTATTATTGTTGTCGATGCGGGGTATAAACACACAAAGAAAGCATGCTTTATTTTTGAGTAACCGTGGGGAATTTTTAGGTTATATATATATTTGTATGCGCGATAATTTAATACATTTATTTCTAGTTACGTTCTCAACATTTATTTCCATTCAATTATTTCCTGACTGGAATGCTTAATTTGACAGTTTAGCGCCAATGTGGCTGGTTCCGGCACGCGGCATTATCTTGCGTCGCTTGTGGGTACAGTGAGAGTTGTACGATTGACGTCGGCTCAACTAAAGGAAAGAGGCAATTTTTAAAGGGATCGTTCAGCTACACGTGAAGCCAGCTAGCCAGCTAAATATTACCCGCATTGGGAGTGTGCTTGAGGTTGAAAGGTGCCTCTAGCTGGAATATTTTGTGTAAATTAAAATGGCTACAATATCGTTACCAGCAAACGTCAGCGTCATGTTACTTGACATAGAAGGGACCACGACACCAATTACATTTGTCAAGGTAACCTAGCGCATTGTTAAATGACATTTTAAATATCAACGCGTTGAGTGGCTAAATCGTTGCCTGCTCTTTATGCAAAAATAATGTTGAAATGAACATATCAATTGATGGAAGTGAGTAGGCTTAATTATTTATATTTTTTGGCAGGACATTTTATTTTCATATATTAAGGAGCATA